GGCGCGTCCCTGTATCGACGAAACACTGTGTAGTAGGCCAGAAATCGGGTGCAAGGAATATCTCTTTGTATTTTGCAGGAACCTGGAGTACGTAGGATTTGAAGTTCGTTAACCTATTAGACTCCAGACGCTGCAAATGTAAAGAGATCGGATCCTCTATGCGGCATCGGCTTCGTTCTTCCACGAAACGCAGGACGTCTTCTCCCGACGTACTTTTGTCCAAACGGGAGATGTAGAGCTGTATGGTAGGCTCCACAATACGCAGAGTTGTGCTTGCGTTTATATTGGCGGTCTCACGCTGGTTACAGACGGGTCTCGACCGACGTCTCTTCTCAACAAGAGTAAACCCGTCATTACCTCTCTTGTTTCGGGTCACCACAGGATATGATCTTACATCCCCATTATTTTGTTTTCGACCACAAGAGGGTACCGGTTGTGAAGGTTTTCGAGCAACATCCGAAAACATCTTCCCTTGTTGACAGGTTGACTTCGGCAGAGGAGTACTCATGGGTTCAGTCAAGGCAGGTGGTGAAGACCAAGGTGCCCAGCAACGGTCATCAACCCGTTGACAGACGGTATCGCGTGACGGAGTCGCAAACATCGGTGAAATATGACTACTTTTACGATTACCGCGTGTCGTATTTACATTCTGCGACGGCGGTGAATTCGCAGATGTTGCAATTATGTTGCGCAACTTAGTGACTTCGTTTTTCAGCTCAGTTGCGGTTCGTTCCAATTCTTCAAATTAAAAACGGAGATCGGTGACTTCGGCTTTCAACGTGGTGATGTCTTTCAACAATCTGGTCACGGGAGGCAGCTTGTTAAGATCACGCGCGACGAAAGTTGAGATGTCATCAGGATCGGTCTCATTGAACAGCCTGAAGATGTCCTGCAGGTCTTTCTTACCGCGTCCATCTCTATGACGTGTTATAAGACGGATTTGGGTCATGGCTGAATCTGCTAACACCTTCTTCGCTTGGATGATCTCGTCCTCGGTGAAGCTGGTCATCAGTATCTGCTCCAGGGACACCTGGTCCATGACGTACAATTTTTGTTGAACAAAGGCCAGGAACTCGTTAACTACAACAGTATCGGAGCGTTTAGGTTGACACGCCATTTCGAATTATTTTCGCGCAGTTGGTATGCTTACGCTACGAAAATATTGTAGGTTCGGCATTAGAGCCGCCACATTACTATGAAGCGACTGCACTGATCGGCAGTAGAAATGCCACGCTGCTAAGCGGGAGCTGCACTGCACATTCTGTTTTAAAACTCCCTCTAAATCTAGCTCAGGAAGATTCGCCGATCTGCAACTTTAGCAAAAATAGTGCACGAGGTATAATGCTACGACAATGCAAACTTTTAGTGTGAGACGAAAGTACAATGTCGCATAAAAAAACCTGTAGAAGCACTAAATCGAATGCTCCAGGATTTGCGCAGCAATACCGATGTAATGGGAGGAATAGTGGTTTTACTGGCTGGTGACTTTCGCCGAACTTTACCTGTCATTCATAAGGGACAAGTCGCCTATTTTATGGAACAAGGTGACAAAATTCAGTTTAACTACGAATATGAGAGTGCATTTGTATAACGATATCAATGCTGGAAACTATGGCGACACACTATTAAAAATTGGCGATGGGCGGTTAGAAACGGATGCTGAGTTAAATTGACGAGAGATTTTTGTAATTTAGTACAGAGTCATTCCGAATTAATTGCGAGCGTTTATTCAGATTTAACGAACAACATGCATGAAGACAAATGGTTATGTGAAAGGGCGATTCTTGCACCAAAAAATGAGAGCGTTAACAAAATAAATTCAGATATATTAAGCGAAGTATCAGGAGAAATAACAGAGTATTTGTCAGTAGAAACAGTTATGGACACAGAACAGAGCACTTTATATCCCGCAGAGTTTCTAAATTCTCTAGAGTTGTCAGGTGTTTCAATCCCCAGAAGACACAAGTTTGCGCGTCAACCGCTAAAAAGAACCCCTTTGTCGTATTTTCTCAGATTGAAGGCACTTTCCTTGCTGCCTCAGCTAGCATCAGAATCCTCGGCGTTCGAAATATCGAATAGTGTGCAGTTTCGTGGTCACTTGGAGGGGAAGGCCAAATTGGTATCTAAAAAGCTTTGCCTGCTCAGCAGAGCGAGACAGTATTTCATGCAGGCACATCACTTGCAACTTTACAAAGCGCAAGTTCGGCCTCATATGGAATACTGTTATCATCTCTGGGCATCCGGGGCACCCCAGTGTCAGCTCCTTTCACTCGACCGCATCCAGCGCAGAGCGATTCGAATCGTCGACGACCGAGTTCTTTCTGATCGGCTCGATTCACTGGTGCTGCGTAGCGATGTTGCATCCTTTTGCGTTTTCTATAGTATCTACCATGGGGAGTGTTCTGAGGAATTGTTCGGATTAGTTCCAGCCGCCCAATTTCACGAACGCACATCGCGTCGAAATTCCGATACCATCCTCACCATCTAGATGCTTGGCGGTCCACTACTGTACGTTTTACTAGGAGTTTTCTTCTTCTTACCACTTCTCTGTGGAATTGTTTACTACCGGCGACTTTTCCGGACCGATACGATAAGTCGTAAAAGAGGTTGCTCCTTTCTAAAAGGCCGGCAACGCATCTGCAATTCCCCTGGTGTTGCGGTTGTTCATGGGCGGCGGTAGTCACTTACCATCAGGTGAGCCGCATGCTCCTTTGCCCAGTCTTCAAAATAAATATTCCCTTCTTTTTTCCCATTCTTATTTTTAAATAAACCCCCCCCCCCCCCCTTTTTTAAATACAGTCAAAAAAAAAAAAAAAAAAAAAAAAAATTTTATATATTTTTTTTTTTGTTTTAAAAAACCCCCCCCCGGTAAGTGCCCCCCCCCCAAAAAAAATTTTCTTTTCCCCTCCCTTCATTTTCCCCCCAACAACCCCCCCCCCCCCCCCCCCCTTGGTCACTCATGGTAAACAGAGGAACCCACATGCCTGGTTCGAGGTGGTCACTCCGAGTGACTTGTTTGGACTGCGGCGAGAGGGGTGTGGCCCCTACCGAAATGGAATCGCGGAGGAAGAACAGTGTGGTATTACGAGGACACTCGCTCTATCCTCCGCAACTTCTGTAGGGTCGCACCGTTAATGCGATAGTGGTGGAGTTACGGATGTGTGCGAAAGCGTTCCCGTAGCCCTGCCAATATGCAGCGAAAGTGGATCACCATGGGATTTTAGTCCGCAGTTTATGCGTAGGCATTTTCACACATAAAAAAGATGTTCCGATTGAGGCTGACATTTAGGTTACGTATCAGAAAAAAAATTGGAGCTTAGGCTTAGCTCCTAAAAAAATTGTAAAATTCATAGAAGGTAGGTATGCGGGCAATCCAGTTTTGATCCCTTCAATTATAATAAAAATTTATAGTATTTTTCAACGTTTTTGATATGTAATAATTATAAGTATTACATATCAAAAACGTTGTCGACATCTGTAGATGAAGAATATAGTAAATTCGTAGTTTTCACATTTTTTTCCTTTGTAACCTACAGAAATGCAAGGAGGTCCAACAGAGAAATTTTTAAAGGCAGAAACTTTACCGTATGTAATATTTCTATTACAATTTTTATTTTTTTGAAAATGAAAAATGATTTATTGATTTACAATGATACATTTTAAACCAGTCGCAAGGGTGTGTGTACCTGTGTGCCGTGTGGGTGTACTAGATTGGGAACCTGTATTACTGGGTACCCCACTCATCCACCAAGACAATACAATGTTAATCAATAGCATTAGGAAGTAAAATAAAGTGTTTAGGATATAAGTAAAACAACTAAAGAAACAATTGCACCTTTTACTCACAAGCTTTTTCATGCAAATAAATAATCACATTTGAGATTCAAGCAATGTTTGGCAACTTGAGTACCATAAAGTACCATATAACTAATTACTGTTATCTTAATTTCATACTGTTTTATTTACTATTTATTCATTGAGAAGACTGCTGAAAGAATGGTTTACATGATTTTACAATTTTCATCATATTTTACTTAATACTTTCATTCTACTAAAATATTATTTTAATTCACTGCCTCAAACTGTCAATACAATAAAATGGGTGGTGTTTTCAAATATAAAACTAGAGAATGTGTTTTGTTAAAAAAAAACTTTGGCTAAATTATACATAAACAATCTTTGGTTATACCCAATTTAAATGTGATGTGCAAAACCAGAAACAAGCTTCATAAAACTATATACTTATTTCTAAACATGTTCCCTACTAATGTATTGTAAACAAGTAGTAAGTATCATGTAGGAAATACAAAATAAAATTGATATTGAGCAAGTTTTATAAATGCTGCCATTTGTTACAGTCCTGGAAAAGAGTATTAAATTGTAGATGGAGCTCTCAATTTACTGTTAATTATATAAATTGAGCACTGAATGAACTACTACCAAAGTAAAAATGTTTTAACTTTGTTAAAACTTATGCTATTTGAGCACTTGTGTGATTCCGTTATTATCTTAAAACATGCACCATGTATCTTGGATAATAATGTAATTGTGAATGCATAAATAAAATCCAAATATTTTGAAATATAATCAATGATAATACATTACTAGCATGCCAAAACTGAAGTATCAGGGTTTTCAATGACACCATGGTTATGTAAGTTTAAAGAAAAGGATAACAATAGACTTTCCAGAAGTGCTGCGATAAGAACATGAAGAGCAAGAGAGAATTCACGTAGAAATGTAAAAGTAAAAGTAAAACATTAAAAAATATATGTGTTGCTGCTGGGACTCCTGGTTTGGGAACATTTTTTTTTGTGGTTTTGTGGGCATATCTATGAAAAAAATCATTGCATATAATGTAATTACTTTTTTTTAAATGTTCAAAACATAAATCTGAAGAATTTTTAGTATAAATGATTTTTTTACATGTTTAATAAAAGTTTGAAAACTGTATAATTAATTAAACAGATGCAAGTTGCTGGGTGAAAGCTCCATCTCAATTAAAACCAATCTGAAATATATTTTAGACACATCATAACACCTTAGATTATTAAAAATAAATAATGTAAATAAATATAAAATTTGGAATGTTTAAATTGATGCAGGATCATAAGTTATTCAGATGCTTAAGCCTAAGGTAAAAAAGCTAAAAGTAAGTACTACAATACCATCACAATGAGCTTTCTGCACAATAGAAAAATATTGATCAATGTATAACTGTTATTCTGAAGGTGTTAAGTCTTTTTCAGGCTCACCCTCAGATAATATTTGCTGGAGAAGATCATAAATGGGTTCAAACGCCTTTCGACAAGCTGCATTTGTAGGTATAAGATAGTCATGCATATCATGGTGGCTAATCGTACCATCACTTTGAATGAGCCCTTTGTCTATAAAAACCATCTCAACCTTATTCATATTATTAACTTTTTCAAATAAAAGTTGATTTATTTTGGCATTTTTTTCCCTTAGGCAATTAGGATATTGACCTCTAGGCAGAAGACTCTGAAATATGAATGAAACATTAATAAAATACAATATAAAAATTATACCCTTATTTTCATTACAGTTTAAGAATTTACTTACAGGCAACACTATATAAGCATTAGGATGTTTCTCTCTAATTGTTCTGACTATTTCTAGAATGCCTTCACAAATTTGTTCAGCAGTATGTTCGACATTGTTTGTGCCAACATGTAACACTACTACCTAAAAATGGTAATAAAATTTGGTGAATTGAGTTTGAATGTTGACAAAATATACAATATATAATTATAAATAAATACCTTAGGATCAACATGATCAAGTTCACAATTTTTAATGCGCCATAAGACATTTTGGGTTTGATCTCTATGAATACTAAAATTAAGGCAGTGAAGCGGAGCAAACCATTGATTCCAAACTTCAGTATGTTCCAAAGCTTGAAGTATCGAATCACCAATAAAAACTACATCTGCTTCTTTTCCTTTTGCATCAGATAAAAATCTATTATGCTAAAAATATGAGGACAAATAAATACAAGAATCATTGTGCCAATTACTAATGCTATATCATGTGCAACAGTTTTTAATGAAATGGTTCAGTGCACTTCTAACACGAATTAAAATTCATCTTACGATTAATTTAATACCACCTCGATAAATGATTTAGGAAACTTACAATGCTATTCCAGCGCCCATCACCTTCAATGTCATGTTGTGGAGCTGCCTCAGAGCACGGATTCATAGTAAAACTTTAGAATTTCTGTAAAAATAAAATGCAAATCAACTACGCGCGTATTCAATAAAAAGAATATTTTAGATTATGTACAATCCAGTACAATCGGCGTAGATTTACCAAAAACAAAAAGTTCGTTTAACGTGCACTAAAAAAATCAAAATTAAATTCGGTTATTGATTACAAGAGACTTTTTTCCTATAATTACATTAATAAATACATAAAATTACTACAAAAATAAGGTAAAACCACTTCTATTCCATATCACCATTTGATTTAGTATTATATTTTATCTGTCTGTTCCTGTTTCCTGTCACAGACTCGGTAACCTGTTTGGGATGTCGATCTGAGATCGATTAATTAAAGAATCGATTTCTAGTGCCATAAAGATCGATTTTTAAACGATAAATATATAGTACTGAATCGATACAGTGAATCGATATTTTACCCTAGAAAATCAAGATCGAATTTTATTCTGCTTTCATAAGAACTATAAAATTATTTACAGTTATATAGTAGCAAATAATAAACATGTAAATATAGGTAGAAAGTATGTTTATAATACAAACTTATAAGTACAAATTTGTTATAGATATGAGTAAAGTGACCATTTATTTTTCCGTAAAGCGGGACACCTTTAAAATTATTATATATTTAACACTTTTGACTGCCTTCTTGGTCTAACGGTTGTAAACGCAATTGCCCATGTGGTTCCGGGTTGGAAACCCGAGTCGGCACAAGAATTATTTATTGGGTTTTTCTGTCACAAAATTCTCAGTAGCAGCCCGGAATATTAATTTCTAACTTATTCAATTTGGAGGGGTTTCACTACCGTGCTTCAGTAAGCACGTAAAGCCGTTGGTCCTGTGCCTGATCTCTCTCCCGTCGTCCGGATTACCGTTCCATCGGATTATAAGAGTAAGGGAGTAGGGTAGGCCAAGGCTTACACATACACTTGGGCAATATAATCCTGTCCTGCGCAGATGGCTATTCTCCGTTGAGAATGGCCGCCGTTATCAAAATTCAATCTGAAACCCTTTATTATAGTTTTAAAAATAAAACATATATTTGTTTGAATATTTTAATGATAAAAGTGAGAATATGAACTTAGAATCATATAAAATCTGTCTGTTGGCACTTTTACGTACTTTACGGACAGCGGGACACAAGCCTTTAAATCGGGACCATCCTGCCTAAAGTGGGACGTAAAGTCACGTTAAATATGAGGGAACTCGTATGTAACAGATATACTTTGACAAAGTAACGACTCCGTGGCGCACTGGCTTGGTAATGAGTGGCTGCGCTGGGGGCCGTGGGTTCAAATCCCGCACGGTACAAGTATTAGTATGGCCTACAAATAATTGTTTCGGGTCTGGCTGTTAGTCCTTGTACAATTTATGTTTGTAAACTGCCTCCACGATACAGGAGAAAATCCTAGTGTGGGGGTAACGATAAAAATACTGGCAAAAAACACTTGAGTGTGCTTAGGCTGCCTAGTTTAATTTTATGTTGAAAAGTACTTCATCATTATTTTATTTGGACGTCATCGTCCAAAACGCCTGGAATAAAAATTTATAAAAAATAAGTATTTGTAGGTACTTATTAGTTTACAAGAAACGCATTGGACAATAATGTCCAAATAAAATAATAATGAAATACTTTTCAAAGTGAAAATAAACTAGGTATCGGTAGCATATGTAGTTAATTTTATGTTGAAAAGTAAGTATACGTCGTAAGTAAGCATCTATAGGCATAGGTACGAGTCGTATCATATGGCATCTGTCTATAATTCAATATAGGTATCGCCACACGAGAAGGCTCGTTTGGTGCACCCAATTATTATCTGAAATAAACGCTTGTTATATCATTCGATTACAATATATTTTCTTACTACGTAGATGTATTCAACTATTAGTGGGTTATGAAATAATCCAACACTTATATATATCGTCGATATTTATAAATCGCGATATATCGATATTCAATATTTATCATGGAGTATCGAATTTGTATTAATTTCGATATATTTTAAAATGTTGCATTAATCGACAAAACACTAAGCAACCAAAGATGCTACAAAAATATTCATGTGTCGTTGTCGGATTTTTTTTTCGTCATCCAACTGTCCAGTGATATCATTATGAGCCTTATCGTTATGCAAAACATGACAATATATCGATATTCATCACGTGAATATATCGATACTGTTTAAAAATATCGATACGATATATATCGATTTAGTTTTTCACTAGCTCATCCCTACTCATCGCTATTGCTACATGAGTACGTAAACGGAATATTGCAAGCAGCTAGCCGGACCCGCGAGGACCACGTTTGCACGCAGATCACCCGCCTGCGTCTGCTTCACCCGCTTAAAACCTACGTGAACACAATCCCATTTCGTCTTAAAAGAACCCCTTTGTTGTATCTCCTCAGTTTCAAGGCACTTCCCTCATTGCCTCAGCCAGTATCGGAATCCTCGGCTTCAACATATCAAGTGACGTGCAATTTCGTGGTCACTTGGAAGCGAAGGCGAAATTGGCCTCTAAAAAGCTTGACGTGCTCACCAGAGCGGGACAGTATTTCATGCCGGCACACCGCATCGCCTGCAACTTTACAAGACGCAGGTTCAGCCTCACATGGAATATTGTTCCCATCTCTGGACTGGGGCTCCCCAATGCCAGCTTCTTCCAATTGACCGCGCCCAGCGCAGAGCGGCTCGAATCGTCGACAAACAAGTGCTTTCCGATCGGTTCGTTTCACTGGCGCTGCGAAGAGGTGCTGCATCTCTTTGCATTTTCCTTCGCATCTACCACGGGGAGTGCTCTGAGAAATTGTTCGGATTACTCCCAGCCGCCAAATTTCATGAAAGCACAACGCGGCAAAACTCCCGACACCATCCACACCATCTGGATGCTTGGCGGTCCACCACTGTACGTTTAACTAGGAGTTTTCTTCCACGTACCACCTCTCTGTCAAAGAATATATACACTACGTGAAAAGAAACGACACTTAAGCATGTGTGCACGTAAAATCGCTTGCGGCTATGTGTGGATGTACGCGGCGGCCTTGAGAGGCGCGCGGGGCGTGGAACGGCAGTCGCCGACTGCCCTGGCCGAGGGCTAGTAGTAAAGATGGGTTAGTACGATATTTGTCAGTATTAGTTAATATGAATAAATTCGTCAAGTGATGTTACAATATTTAATATTACTGATATCTTAATACGACGGTTATACATATTACTATTCTATATATATAAAATTATACATGATACGAATTTTTGCAATTGTTAGAAATACTTAATAATGAAAATTATAAAGTAATTGAAAAATTCAAAAATATATAAGAGTAAATTAATTTTTAAAGGATAGTAGGTAATACTGATTATTACGTACTGACATACTTAGTGTTGGTTAATTATTTAAGATTACCATTAACTGTCGTTCATATTTGGTTTTGTCTGAAGTTTTAATATTCCTCATTTATAAAGATATTTAATAAAAGTTGATTTAAAATTGAACGTATCTTTCACTGACCAAATACATAAGTTTACATAATATATGACATATACCTACTATGTATCTTTCGGTTCAATATCAACCCTAGCGTTACACGCTTCGACTCAAGGTCACCGGCTTGAGCTCTCACGTAAAGAGAGTGTCACTGCTGTGTCTCTGTGGAATAGCTTACCACCAGCGATTTTTTCGGACCGATACGACTTAGGGACTTTCAAGAAAAGATCTTACTCCTTTCTAAAAGGTCGGCAACGCACCTGAAATTCCCCTGGTGTTGTAGTTGTTCATGGGCGACGGTAATCACTTAAACGTACCGTGAAGAACCGTATCCACGTTTGCACCCTCTCCTAATTTTATTTTGCAGTTTGTCAAATAGACTTCCCCCGGATTCTATAATTAGAAAAAAATGATAAAGGTTAGTTGGGCGGGTTGGTTGGAATCCAAAGAAGTACACAACAATTTGCAGCAAACATTTTCTTGAGAAGTAGAAAAGAAAAAGTAGAATAAAACTAATTTTATTAAAAGGAACCATTTCTACATGAAGTGTATCAGTAAGTATAATATTGTTATAATAACACTTCAAAAATTGAACTTCAAAAACGTTTTGATAAAAACAAAGATAGATTTTTACACGTTATAAAATCGTAGTACATTAAATAATGTATTCATTTATGTAAATATAACAGAAACGCGAGTAACCCGGGTTCGATCCCCGCCGGCACCAATGAAATTGTTAATTGCAATTTTAAGTGCTGATTTACCACGTGCTCAGCGGTGAAGGAAAACATCGTGAGGAAACCTGCATGTCTGAGGAATAAGAAAAAAAATATTTCGAAGACATGTGAAGTTCGTCAACACGTATTTGGGCAGCGCGGCGGACACTTCCTTGCCCTAAACCCTCTCAGAAATGAGGGGAGGCCTGAGCCCAGTAGTGGGACGTATATAGGCGCTGTAACTTTACTTTTTTAACTTTTTATAAACCGAAAAAATGAGATGCACGGTTCAGTGTGTCATGATAGTATAAATTCCATAGTATTTGATACTCACAACACCCGATGCCCGTTTCATGCTTGAAAGCCGATGACAGTCTGCCGAGGTTTTAATAGCGTGGTTCATCGCCTACGAGAAGAGGAGCTCGTAGTTAAGTAATAGCTGCGCGGATCAATAGATCTGCGAGATTAAACTGTTATTGCCGCGGTCAGTCCATGTATGGGTCACCGTTTTCTTAACACGTATATACATATAATAAATATATAGTAAATAATATATACATAAATAAAGAAAATAAAGAGTGCATATGCTGTATCCTCAGACACTTGGTGCACTTTAATATCTCCTGCGTATTTGACTAGTTTCTGTTATTGTCATTATCATAAAATGATAATAAGTTTATTATTACTTTATATTTTTCAGGGACAGGTGACACAGAGTAATCTTATGTAACTGATTCCTACAACCTTCCTTACTTAAATTATTAGTCTACATTTAAGTCGA